GAATTTTCCACCCAGTGGGGTGGATGGGGCTTAGGGGTCTAATGTAGTTGTATTTTAAGGGAAATAAAGCAATATGACACTTCTCATGCAATTGAGACAGCCAGACTACACAATCAAATCAGACAACCAACCTCACAGATATAAGACACAAAAGTCACGTCCTGTTTCAGAGTGTAAGATTGCGAGGCAGGAAAACACGCTTCCCAGGGTTGCAGGGCAAACGACTGATAAAAATTCAAACTGACAGATGCAGTGTGTGAAGTACGTAGACGAGGCAGTAATTAATTCTAAGGGGGAGGTGATAGGGACCTAATGTGAAATGGTGGAGAGAAAAGAGCATTTATACACACACACACACACACACACACACACACACACACACACGGAGACTCATAAGTTTCTGGTTCGGAAGGAATAGTACATTTTACCAAGATGGGGAAGAGTGGGGAGCAAGCTTCTTGGGGAAGGGCACTCGAGAACCACTTTGGATGTGCTGAGTCAGGAAGATCTGAGAGATCACATCCCTGCTTCGCTTCGGAGCCTTTGCCCTGCTTTTGAACACGCTTTCCCCAGACCTTCACAAGCCAAGGTCCAGCACCGTTCCAGGGCTTAAATCAAATGCCATGTAGGCTTTTCCTGAATTACCCTCATCTGCTCTTCATTCCCTATGCTACTACCCTATTTTATTCTCTTGATAACATTTAACACCTTCCGAAATTATGTCATTACTTTAACTCATTTATTACCTATCTTACTCCAGTAAAACGTGAGTTCCGTGTCAGCAGGGACCTTCTGGTCACGTTCTGCACCAACCCATTGTGTAGGACAGTATCTGGCCCGTAGTGCGTGCTCGGTATGAAATTGTGGAATGAATATTAAAGTGAAGATGGTACCAAACAGGCAGCCGAATATGTGAGTCTGAAGCTCAGAGGCGAGGAGAGATCAAACCCGAAGAGACACGTTTAAGAGTCATTGCATAAAGATGGCATTTAAATTCACGGGAGTTACTGAGACCCCTGTGTATTAAGGAAGAGAGGGGCAGAGGGCCCAGGACTGAACCCCGAGAAAGCTCAGGATCTAAAGTTCACCCCTTGACCATTCCTTTGAAACGCTTGTCAGTACTTTTACAGTCTCCTCCTCCTTCTTCAAATTGCCCATCAATTTTTAGAGCCCCGTCCTTCCTTTATACTGTCATGAGCTGTGCACTTTTTTGTTTTCCTGATTAAGATCATAAGCCTCTTAACGGAAGGATCTTATAGTCAAAATTATGTTCTTGAATTAGATTAGGTTGTATTGGACTGTGATAAACATTGTCACATTATAGCGTTTTACCTACCCACGGCAATGCCAGTGTTAAACGTATTATTATTCCACGTTCATGGACACCGTGCCCAAGTTGTTAGTGGACTGTTGTTAACTTTCCTTTGCAAAAGGTATGTTTTCATTCTCAAATCAATCATCAGATTCATTCAAGAAATCAAATAACGTAAACAGACCCTGCTGTGAATTCAGGGGTGTTGTGAAAAGGTAATTGTTTGATCAATATTATAATGCTAGATTTTAATTTTTCTCTAAATTTTCAGGATATTGAAAGAGACTTGAAACAAATTGGACTTCAGAACACAAAGGAAAGTAAACTTCCGGAACAAAAACATAAAGCTAAGGTAATAAACATTTTGTCTTAAAGTTTCATTTTAAAAATCTGGCTGGGGATCTGCACCTTGCAATCTGGGTTGCCTCTAGGATTTCGCTCCCTACTATTTTATGGAATTGCCTTATTTTGTGATGTTAGACTAATGGTTTTAAGTATCTGTAATGTCAAATTGGGAGTTGTAATTTTAAGGTTTTTATTGGAATGCGAAACAGATTTATTTTCTTGCTTTCTTCTAGAGAGGGATAAAGTTTGAAATTAATTTAGACAAATGTATTTCTGATGGAGACACCCTCCAAGAGGAAGAGGTATGCCATTAAGTAAAATTCTATTAGTAGGGATGAGAAAATGAGTGTCTTAATAGCATGTTTCATGAACTTTTCCTATAGAGGGTAGGGAGCATTTTCTAAAATCTTCCTAGAAGGATGTCTGGTGTTCGGACAAGTCTTCCAAAATATTTTTTATCCTTCCATTCTTTTTAAACTTGAGATTATTCCTATAGATGGATTATTCCATTTTAATTTATTGTTCTATTATAAAGGAGCTATTTTTCTCATAATAGTAACTTTTAAATTATAGCCAGATTAAAATAGAAGACATAATATATAGTCAACAACTAATACACTCACCTAAAAAATATGTAAATGAGCAGTTATCCTGAAACCATGCACATTTATTTTAGGTCTCGATTGGTATTGATAACTTTGTACTGGTCTTTGGGTAAATCTCAATTATGCACTTGGGCTTGAATTGAAACAGCAATAAATGCATGAATACAGTAAACTCAAACCTCATTTTATTACTTGATTTCAACATCTTTTTAAATCCCATTTTTTACCAGAGCTGCTAACAAGTATCAGAATTAACTGATTTGTGTTTCTGTTTCACCTTCTCCAAGTTTGCCTTTTAAATTACCAAAAGTTAAGTATGAATATGTGTATACCTATATATATATATATATAAGTTATATACTCAGTTTCTTCCTTTCATGTTTTTTTATTGGCTTAAAACTTTTTTTAATGTTATTTCTTTCAGATTTATGTGTGTGCATGTGCTGAAGGATTCTTTTTTTTTTTTAAATAGACTTCATGTTTTAGGGTAGTTTTAGGTTCATGGCAAAATTTAGCAGAAGGTACAGAGATTTCCCATGGAGCTCCTGCCCTTATCCCCTGGCGCATGTAGCCTTCCCTACCATCAAAATCCCTCACCAGAGTGGAACATTTGTTACAATTGATGAACCTACACTGACACATCATAATCACCCAAAGTACATGGGTTACCTTAGGGTTCACTCATTCTCTGGGTTTTGACAAGTGTGTAACATGTATCCATCATTATAGAATCATACAGAGTATTTTCATGGCCCTAAAAATCCTCTGTGCTCCGCCTATCTTTGAGATTTTTATTAGCCTTTTGCTACAAAGACTTCAGTAGAGTGGTGGTAGTTAGCGCTCACTTGTAACCACTAGGCCCTCTAAGTGTCCCGGAGCTATGAGTACCCGAGGAAGCGGCTCTGGAGACCTGGGTCTGGGTTGGAACCTGAGGGCTGGTCCATCCACGGTGCTTCTGTGAAGTGAGGCACCGAAGTTGGCCTGCTAGAAAAACGAATGGACTCCAAACAGTTTTATCTACCAGTTTGTTCATCCTTTGTTATTCTCTGCTTTGATAATGCTTGAAATAGAGCGATCATTTTCATTTTAATTATGGAATATTAGAAGCAGTTTCAGGGACCTGACTGGGAATGTTAAAGCTTAAAGCAGGGCGTAGATGAGCTAACCTTGAAAGTTCCTTAGAATGGAACTGCAGGAGAATAAGATTGAAGGCGGAAAATCTGCATCAGGTTAGCTGCCACTTGATCAGTGCTTATCACTGTTGACAGGGAGAAGAAACGAACACATTCCTGCTTCTGTCGTGTTCCAACACAGTTCTAGTTTTAAAGCCCTACCGATTCATGTAATAAACATACATTGAATACTTACTGCATACCTTGGTAAATGTTGTTACTGGGAACATGAAATAATTTTCAAACTTTTTTCCCCCCAAATATGGCTTATTTCTCATGAAACACCATGAAATTGCTTTAGGCAATGGATATACTGAATGAAACTTTGACCTCTGAGGACGACGTTAAGTTTAAAGGGTATAAATGTATAAAGGAGCATGAAGATTATACAGACAAAGCATTTGAAAAACTTTGTTGCCGGGAAGCAGGTATGTGTCCCTTCAAAGCTGCAGGTGAGAGGAACCGTTTTACGGGCAGTCATCTCGAATCCTCTCCTCCTCACTCGCATCCCGTGATTTGACTGTCCCCTGCCCCCCACCTCACCCCGAACTGGACGGAGACCTGGCCCCTCTGACTCTGCCCACCCCAGGGGTCACACCCTCTGAGACCCGCCCTCCTCTCTGCCCCACAGCGTCTCCTGGGGCTGTTTCACCTGCCCCCTCAGCTTCCGCTTCTCCCGGTCCACACTCACCTATCTTTCTCAGGATCTGCTGGATGGCTCCATAGACAAGTCCCACTAGCATCTCAGACTCGGCGTGTGTACAATCCAGCTTCTGAGCCCTATCTTCCCAGGGAGTCTTTATTTCCGGTGATGCCCTCACCAGGCCGACAGCCCTGCTGTCATGCCTGGCCTGGTGGTTTCTACTCTGAGATGTCCCTGAGTCTTCTCCTCTTTCATTCCCTCTGCCCTGTCCTGTCTCAGCGGTGCGTGTGGTGGGAAACACATGGGCTTTGGAGACCGTACGGAGTTCGAATCCCAGGTGGTGCTGCCACTTTCTGACGGTGTGCCCTTTCACAAGCTACTTCAGATCTCTGAATCTCAGTTTCCCCTTAAGAGTGAGAATAGTACTCGCCACACAGGCTTACTGTGAGGACTAAAGTGAAAATTGATATATTAGGTGCTTAATTTAATATCTGCTCTTCCCTTAATTTTCCCTTTCCCTTCCCTCACCGAATTGCTTTAGTCTCCTATGCATCCTCCCTTTCTCTAGTATTTCCCCTTCATTCTCTATGTAATTGCTACAGTCATCTTGTCATATTATTATCCTACTCAAATTTTGTTTTGATAATGCCTGTAGGATACAGTCTGTTGCACATAGTATCACATTTAACACTGCGTGGCGTGATCCTGTGGTGACCCCCCCTTTCCTGCCCCATCACCCCCTCTCTCTTTCCACAGATGACGGGATCCACAAAGCCTGCTGGAGCCCCATCTTCCCTTGCAGCTATGTGAGCAATCACACACCCTGGATTGCCTCCATTTCCTCTTCCTGGAATCATACACTTTGCCTCATTTCTACCTGGAAAAGTCTTTATTCAATTCAGCAGGCATCTTGTGGAGAATCTCCCTTCTGCCAGACTGTGCTAGGTGGGAGGGACCTCAGAGATGAATGAAACCTGGGTCTGCCCTCAGAATCACAGAATTGTCATGAGCCAAAGAAAGGAAGCACAAAACATGCTTTCTGAGCCCCAGTACTAATCACTGCTCGAGTGCCAGCTGGTTGGAGAGTCGGGGGGTACCTCTCCTACACAGCTTGGCATTCCAGGGAGCTTGGGCTTTATCCTGTGTGATGGCTTTCAGTCAAAGGGAATTAAATGTTATTCGTGATGGAGAAAGATCACGCTGGCTGCCATGTGAAGGATGCGTGGAGGGGCAGGCCTGAGGGCAGGAGACTGGTCCAGGTGGGAAATGACAGGTACACAGGGCAGGGCAGTGCAGTGACAATAGACACCAGGTGTGAACTGCTGAGTGTGGGGACTGAGGAAGAGAAGAGGGTCCCAGTCTTCTAATTCAGATGGACAAGGCTATCACCAGCCAAACAGGTGCATACGTCACGCAGAGGGAGGTCAGTAGAGATAACGTAATGGTTTAAATTTGTAAAATATTGAGTTTAGGTCTTTCTGAGCATCAGCTGGAGGTTTTTAGAAGGTGATAGCTGAGTAAGGCCAAAGCTCTGGGGCAAATCAGGGCTTCCTTAGCATATGCACAGTATTTCAACCTTGATGGTGGTGGAAAACACCTAGGCACTGGGGCTGGAGTGAGAAGGAAATGGAGCTTAGGACAGGCGCTTGTATTGTTTAAACAAGTTTTGGGAGAATCAGAAGAGAGTGAAGCCAAAGAAGGAGAGAAGGTTCTGGAAGGAGCCTCAGGGCTTGGCAGTATCAACTGGAAGAGAAAGACCAAGTGAGGCAGGTTGAGTAACAGCCCACAGGGTCTGGTTATCAAGGGCCCTGAGTGGCCTCAGTGTGAGCAATTCCAGCGAAAAGAATCAAATCAAAGGTTCTTCTTTGCGTGAGTTCCTCTGGGAAGAGAAGAGAGTGAATTATAAGTCTCAAAAGACATGGCTGCTTTTTTTTAAAAAAAACACTTCATTAATTTGATGCTGAAAACGGTCTCTTAAACTGGGCTCCCGTAATTACTATTCAGGCTGAACAATTTCCCATATGTTTACTGACATCTGTATTTCTCTTGTGAATTATGTGCTCACATCCTTTATCCATTTTTCTACTGAAAATGGCATGTTTGTTTTTTTCTTTATAAGGCTCATTTAAATTGAACCTTTGCCTGACATACGTATTGCAAATAGTTTCCCCAGTTGGTCTTTAGATCTCATTTATAGTAACAACAGCAGATATGTGTGAGAGTGTGTGTGTGTGTGAGTGTGTGTGTGTGTGTGTGTGTACATATAACTTGGGAATTAACTTTACAAGAATCATGCAGAGCATATGAAGGAAACTATAAAATCTTACTGAGGTATTTAAAGATTATTTGAATAAATGTAGAGAAATAACACTGTTCTGTATTGGAAATATTCATTCCAAATAAATATATGGATTTTTGGCAATTTCAATCAAAAGCACAATAGGATTTTTTTCTGGTGTGAGGAGATCTTGGAGATTCTTAACTAGCCACAAAATTTAGAAAAGAAGAGCATTGAGGGGCACTTGCCCTTCCAAATATCAAACTGTATTATATAAATTATAGTCGTTAAAACAATGTGATACTAGCACCAGAATAAAAAAAGTAATGAAAAAAGAGAAAGTTTAGAAACAAACTCTAGTATGTATCATAATTTAGCATATGCTAAAAGTCACATCATAAGTCAATGGGAAAAGAAAGAATTACTCAAATAAATGCTCTAGGACCAACTGGTTAACAGTTTGGGGGAAATTGTGAAATCAGACGCTATATAATGATACAACAAAATAAATTCCAAAATAAAATCAAAGAGTGAAAAAATGTAAAAAAATGAAGTTATATGTCAGAAAATAAAGTGAAAGAAAATATAGGTATTTTTTTTGGCTAGAGAAGAGTTAGCTATTCAAAATACATAGGAAAAAAAATCACAGAATAAATTAGTAATAGATTCAGCTTTAACAGTGAAAGCCTTTGGTAAAGAAAATATTATAAAAGTAGCCCCTAGCATTGTCATTTTCAGTAGTTTACCTAGGGAAAATCATCATAAATGTCAAAAAAATTAAATACAAATGAGTTCATTAAAGTGTTGTCTATAATAGTCAAAAATTCTAGCAATCTAAAAATCCAGCAAAAAAGAATTAGTTAGGTTATAATATATCCATGAAACAGAATACCATGTTTTCTTTAAAATGGTGGTGTAGAACAATATTTAATAATACAGGTATGGTATGTTGCTAATTGAAAAGAACAAGTTATAAAAGGGTGTGTAACATTTGGCCCCTTTTTTGTTTCAAAACGAAGCAGAAACTATATGCGAGAAGGAAATTTTGAAATTTTAGGTCTCTGGAGAGTGGGATTGTGGTAATTTTTGTTTCCTTCTTCTACTTATCTGATCTCCAGAGTTCTTATAATGAAACATACTAATAAATAAAGAAAATGATAACACAAGTTATTTTTTAAATTAAGGTAATGGAACAGTTGCATTTCTGTGGAACCTGACTAAAGTTCACATAAATGCCTCAAGAATTTGTCCATCCATGCCGTTAATATTTCTTCAGCGTTAAATACATTGGCTAGTCAGTCAAATGTTAATAATAAAAGTGAAACAATTTTAAACCTGTTTATAATTTCAGTCTTGTAAGTTATGATCTATCTATGTCTTAGTCTATTCAGGCCACTGTAACAAAATACCATAAACTGGGAGACTTATAAACAACATTTATTTTGCACAGTTATGGAGGCTGGAAAGTCCAAGACCATGATGCTGGCAGATTCAGGGTCTGGTGAGGGCCCAATTCCATCTTTTTGCTGTGTCCTCACTTAGCGGAAAAGATGAGGGAGCTCTCTGAGGTCTGTTTCATAGGAGCATTAATCCTATTCGTGAGGCTCCACCCTCATGACCTAATCACCTCTCCACAGCCCCTCGTCCTAATACCATCACACTGGGCATTAAGTTTCAGCATATGAATTCGAGGGGGCACACAAACATTCGGTCCATAGCAATCTGTATTAGATTGAGGGTCTTGATTTCTCTGCTTTTGAAGTTACCAGCTGATGGACTCCAGGTTTCCTAAGAACTATTTCTTGCAGTTAGTCACACTTTGACTGCTTTGAGATCAACGAGTTATTTCCTTATACCCAGGGTTGTTCATTCCAGATGCTGCCACTGCAGAGGACAGGAGACAGTGGGATGCTGGGTCTCCTCAGACTCTGCTGCAAATGATGGCCACGGCCGACATCACCTCCACCTGCTCCACTGTGCCTGAGGGTGAAGCTGACATCAGTGGCACAAATTGTCAGCAAGAGGAGAGCGAGGCCCCAAAGGCAGCTGTGTTCACCCCAAATGCTTGTGCTCACCCTGACTTGACAGTTCTCAGTTTTCAGTACAATCCCGATAGATTTGTATTAAATGCCTTTCAAAGATTTTGTTTTGGTTTCTACCCTACCTCTGCAGAGACTTGCCTACTAATTATCCTAGACAATTGGCCACTGTAACTATGAGAATGTAAGGGAAGAAAGATCCAGGTTCCCATCTTCCTCCCAAGGAGGGACAGGTGGCTTCATTTGCCTTCCTGTGCTAGGCTAATAACTCCCTTGCAGTTTCTTAGAGGGTCGTTTTTTCCTCAGTAACATCAGAACTGAAATATTAGCTGTCCCACAAGATTTAGAGAGTCAGTGCAAAGATACATATTAGCTTGCTTTGCAAACCAAAGTGCTATTTCCATGTTAGCAGTGTTTAGGATATGATGATATTTTCAACCTAAATTCTTCCATTTTCATTTGGGCTTCTGGCATAGTCTTTCCTTAGCAGAGAGTCCCAGCAATATCTGGATGTGATCTTACAGGTGGTGGAGATTTTTATTGCTTATTTCCTATGTTCTTCTTGATAACGTGGGGCTGGGGGAGAGCTAAAATTTATACCCATCTTATAAGTTGAAGTCTGTAAGTATATCACTGAGATTAGTAATTAAAAGTGTGTGAATTGACCCATATTTATACTATTACAGAATATATTGCATATCATCAAATTTACAAGAAAGGGCTTGCAAACATAATACAATTTAATCCATCCTAAGCCAATGAGACAGTAAGAGGGGAAACCTAATTTAAAATAAATAGAAATGTCAACACACCAAAACAGCCAGTTTACAGGGCAAAAAATGACTCTCCTGCCCAACAGTACATGATAATATTGTCACTAAACTTTTCTGTATCTCAGCTTCCTTGCTAATAAAATGAGGGGTAGGATTAGGTGACCTCCAAGGATCTCACATTCTGTGATTTTATAAAAACTCAAATGAAGAAGCATTTTTAGTTTCAATAATCCAGGCTCCTTTTCAGACGGCCGAGTGATCGTGATTGAAGGCATTCCAGAAAACAGGAAACGGTGGCGGCTTGAAACGCCGGGAACTTTAATGAGTGTTTTGACAGCAGCACATCTAACAAGTAGCTCATTTTCTGCCAACGATGGAGAATTTGGTATGTAGTTTACTTTTAAGAACATAGTCCCCTGTGGAATTTTGTCAGAGGTGTAAATGCAGAATGGGGATAAAAATAGCCTGGAGAGAGAATTGGGAGGGTGTCTAAGCCTTTTCAGAAGCTGATTTGCTTTGTCCAAGCCTGTTCCAAACGCCATTAACAAAAGACTTGAACTTCTGAGAAAAGTAGGATCATTTTCTGTAATGTGATGGGTTGACAAGTGATGAAAAGCTAGGTAGGAAGGACCAGTGGCTTTGTAGGTGATGAGCTAGTGCTTAGTGCTACCTCACAGAGCCCGTTTATTCTGACAGCTCTTCAGCAGACTCAAATTACCATCCTGGGGGCCGTAAAATACATCTTAATATAGTTTTTTTCGGCTTTGGGTTTTTCTTGCCTCCAATGTTTAGCAAGATTATGCTGCTGTTGACTTTAAGGGAAACCAACCGTTACTTTCTAAAGTTGGAGGGAATTCCTGTCACAGTGGGGATTTGGTCCTCCAATGGGTGTGCAGGTGTAAACTGCTACGAGCAAAGCCATTTGGGGCAGGCAGGTATCAAACAGAGAACACCTGCGCAGGGGCGAGGTTTCAGGTCTGGGGTTGCTGAGATGCGAGGCTGAGGCGGAGCGGAGGCCTGGTTAGAAACCTGACAGTGATGGAGGCGGATGTGTGCTTACAAAGTTAAAGAACAGCACTGAGAATAATGCAAGAGTCGTACCCGACTGTTTCTGAAGAGTGGGTCTGCCCGTTTGTGAAGCTCAAGAGAAGGGGAATATTTGTGAAAGGTGAGTCTGAAAGAATGGACAGCATTTTATTGAGGAACGAATATTTCAGGTGGGGAGAACTTGCAGATCCACAGGCCTGAGAGACTGAGAAAGACGGTATGGGCTTCCCTGGTGGTGCAGTGGTTGAGAGTCCGCCTGCCAATGCAGGGGACACAGGTTCGTGCCCCGGTCCGGGAAGATCCCACATGCCGCGGAGCGGCTGGGTCAGTGAGCCATGGCCGCTGAGCCTGCGCGTCTGGAAGGTCTGCGTACCCAAAAAAAAAAAAGAAAAAAAAAGAAAGACGGTATGGCTAAAATCTAGGCGCCAGAGAAGGGACCAGAGTCCCTGAGTAGATGAAGTCCTTCGGTGTTATTACTTATCTCAGCTGCCACACTTAAAACTCAAGGCGGGGGTGGCAGTGCAGTGGGGAGAGAGAGAGGAAATGCCTCCCTGCCTTCAAGGCTCTCTTTCAAGTACCTTCAAACCACAGACGGCAGTGTGATTGCATGTCTGCCCCCTCCCCTTCTATCCTGGGATAGAAACATCATCTGTAAGGATGCGGCTGGGGGCCGGTGGGGAAGAAGTTTTGGGCTGGCCTGGCTTGGCCTGGAGGCCAAGGGCTGGGGCCACAGACCAGGTAGGAGGGGGGCGCCCATCTTTTAGGACACTGCGATGGTGACATACTGGTGACTATGATGTGTCTTCTTGGGTTTGTTCCTGTGCTTCTTGGAGAGAGTCATAGAAAACTTCATTTGATCTTGCATACCAAATTAATTAATTCATGAACTGACTGCATTTTCAAATGGATGGCTTTACATTAGGCATATATGAGTAATTTAATCTAACAAGGGGGATTAAACATAGGAATTTGCCTCTAAGGGTAGCATTCAAAGCAAAATGTAGGTATTTTCTTTTGTAACCTGCTAAAGGTGCAGGCATGCCCTCCCACCCGAGCTGTGTTTTCTCTGCTCTTTCAGCCTCTCACTCTGTTGTTGGCCTCACCCCATCTTTCCTATCCCTGTAGCAAGCTTGACTTCCTGTCTCTGGTCATCTCTTCTTTCTTTACCTCTCCCTCTGCACCCCTGCCAGATACTCCTAAAAATCCTTTTAAATCCTGCAAAAGATTCTCCCATACCCTCAGGATAAAATGCAGACTCTGCAGACTCTAAGTGCCTTCAAGATCGGATGGCCTCTCCCAGCACCAGGGCTGCTAGCACTTCTCCATCAGCAAATATTTCTCCCTCAGTTTAGAAAGGTGAGTCTTTCTAAAGACTCCTCCCTTTGCCAAAGTAATTCCTCCTGTAAGATTTCACTCTGATGCAACCTCCCGGCCATTCCTGATGTTTTACCAGCAGATACCCTTCCCTCCCTGCTTTTCGCTATATTGCCGAACAGGGCTTTACAAAGGTGTCTGGAATATAGGAGATTCTTAATCAGTTAATAATTGGAATGAATGAGTGGAAGAGCCTGTAACTTGATTGACATGCTTCCCTTTAATCCAAAAAATTCTAATAAGCTTTCTGTAAATCCTCAAGTTTGTCTACGGTCTCTCTGTCTTTTCTCTGTTAGTTGCCTCTGACAATTTCACATGAATTCAGTCTCATACTTAAATTCGTTCACACTCAAATATTGGTTAAAGGCATGAAAGACATTTCCTTATTATGTTTATCATTTAAATTCAGGCCATAAAAAGATGCAGTAGCAATTGTATTTGAAATTTTAGAGATTGCTATTAAAAACCTGGATCTCAATTAAACTACTGCCTGTGTACCACTGACAAGGAACCACTGGTTTTTTGTTTGTTTTTATAAATTTATTTATTTATTTTTGGCTGCATTGGGTCTTCGTTGCTGCACGTGGGCTTTCTCTAGCTGTGGCGAGCGGGGGCTACTCTGTTGTGTTGTGCGGACTTCTCATTGCGGTGGCTTCTTTTTGCGGTGGCTTCTCTTGTTGTGGAGTATGGGCTGTAGGTGGGCAGGCTTCATCAGTAGTTGTGGCTCGCGGGCTCAGTAGTTGTGGCTCATGGGCTCTAGAGCTCAGGCTCAGTAGTTGGGGTGCACGGGCCCAGCTGCTCCGTGGTATGTGGGACCCTCCAGGACCAGGGCTCGAACCCATGTCCCCTGCATTGGCAGGCAGATTCTTAACCACTGCAACACCAGAGAAGCCCAGAACCACTGTTTTTGTGTTTTTGTGTTTTTGTTTTATTTTTGTTTTTGTTTTTTTTGGGATTGAAACACCTCCCTGCCATGGAAGCCCGAGTCTTAACACTGGACCATCAGGAAGTCCCCCAGGAACCACTGTTTTAAATGCCTGAGAAAACATCAGGGCACGTCTCCTTTGCATTCCTCTAAGTTTGGTTTCCCTGCTTAATATCCCACAAGACACTGTAATTCTCTGATCATAAAAGTAAAGTTCACTTTAGTTTCCTGTTTAATATCTTTCTTCCTCACTAGACTATAAGCTTCTGAGAGCTTTGTCTTGATCACCACCCCACTTGGCCTCTCCATCCCTAGCGCCTGGTATATTGCCCAGAACTTAGTAAGTCACCATGCCTTTGTTTTTGTTTTTTGTTTTGTGGTACGCGGGCCTCTCACTGTTGTGGCCTCGCCCGTTGCGGAGCACAGGCTCCGGACGCGCAGGCCCAGCGGCCATGGCTCACGGGCCCAGCCGCTCTGCGGCATGTGGGATCCTCCCGGACTGGGGCACGAACCCGTGTCCCCTGCATCGGCAGGCGGACTCTCAACCACTGCGCCACCAGGGAAGCCCCACCATGTCTTTGTGAATGAAAATACAGCCATAGCACGTTTTTACTATCACTTTATGTAAAGGCATGGGATTGCCAATATTTGTATTGCTATCAAGTTGGATAAGGAAATTACAATGCTAATTATTCTTACAGCTCTATGGAGTCTTTGTAAAGACTTTCTGCATGTGTAGATTTTAATAACTTTGATTACAGGTGTAATAGACACAATTTATAAAGGCATTTAAGGATTTGTTGTCGTACATTTAAGCATGATTCATATATCGTTTGTCAGTCTTTAGCTTAAATATCCAACTCCTTGAAGATAAATTCCTTTGATGTTTCTAGTTCTAAATTCCATTTGAAAATGAGGGTTTGGACTTTTCCTCAGTGGTTAAGAATGGTTAAGAATAGTGTTAAGAATCTGGCGCAGTGGTTAAGAATCTGCCTGCCAATGCAGGGGACACGGGTTTGAGCCCTGGTCCGGGAAGATCCCACATGCCGTGGAGCAACTAAGCCCGTGTGCCACAACTACTGAGCCTGCGCTCTAGAACTCGCGAGCCACAACTAGTGAGCCTGTGCACCACAACTACTGAGCCCGCATGCCACAACTACTGAAGCCTGTCCACCTAGAGCCCATGCTCCGCAACAAGAGAAACCACTGTAATGAGAAGCCCGTGCACCGCAACGAAGAGTAGCCCCAGCTCTCTGCCACTAGAGAAAGCCCACGCACAGCAACGAAGACCCAATGCAAAAAAAATAAATAAATAAAATTAATTAATTAAAAATAAATAAATAAAAATGAGGGTTTATCAAGTACATGTTTAATTTGTGCTAATTTTAAAAAGTTTGAAATAGCAAGACTTTACAAAATCCTTTTAAATGAATCTAACTAGTAAGAGTGACACTCTTTCAAAGAGAAGTATTTTTTTACATGTGCATAATTAATTCAGGTCAGTAATTTTGTTTATAGTTTAACCACTCCAAGGGAATCCTTGGTGGGAAGGTAACCTCTATTTTTCTAGTGTAAGTTTTCAGGCCACACAGTTGCCTTGGTAACATCATAGTTGCACATCCTGATAACAGCTGATTTACATTTCTGTAGTTAGCCTTTCATTCTTTCTTCTATCCTGTTAAACAAAAATAAGAGCCTCCTAAAACTGTCTTCCTAAGACAGGAAAATAAAAACTGTCAGATTCCCACACCAGGAGGAATACTCTGGCTTGCTTTTAATTAGCCAGACTACCTCATAGATGAGATATATCAATCTGTTTCATTTGTTTAATGCGCTTTAGGAAGTAACATGGGCTATGATTTGGGATGAAATATGTTGATTTAAATAGGTAAATGTAAGTGTGGTGAGATTTCTGCTTGTGTGTACATGAGCAGTCATGTAACAGTTTACTGAAAAAAAATTTTAAAAGCCACACTTTGCTCTTAATTCCGCCTTTGGAGGAAAGTTCCTATTTTTAATCCCACTTGCTAACAGAGGGTAGGGATTTTTTTTTTTCCTGGAGACTAAAGTGAAATACTCTTTAGACACCTAGGAACCAGATGGTTGTACAGTTTGTGTGGGAAAGGTATGTTATGATAGATTACAAACATGAGCACAGTCCTTCACTCTTCCCTGTATCCATGCCCTTTGCAGTATGACTTTGCAGCTCCTCTGTCATTAAATGTTTTTCTTCCCCTCTTCCCTTGAGTCTTGACTGGCCTTGTGATTTGCTTAGGCCAGTAGAATGCACCGGAAGTGATGGTGTGGCAAATCTGAGTATTTAAGGAGCTTCTGCTCTTTCTTTTGGAATCCTGTCCATCTCTCAACTAGCTCCAGTTGCCCTGCTGGAAAATGAGGGACCGTGTGGAACAGAGAGACAAGCCGTCCCAAGTGAAGCCATGCTAGACCAGCCAACCTCCAGGTGGCCAGGCAAGTGACTGCAGATGCCATGAGGGGCCCAGCTGAGACTGGAAGAGCCGACCAGCTGAACCCAGCCCAAATCGCCCAACTGCAGAATTGTGACCTATATAAATGGTTACTGTTTTAAGCCACTAAGTTATGTGGTAGTTTATTATTCTGGAAAAGCTAACTATTGTAGACATACTTAGCAAAATTCCTAAAGTGGTAGTTGAAAGTAGGCTAGCTCTACATAATTTTAAAGCCCACTTAAGAAACCAGCATTTTAAATTCTCTGTGAATTCTTTTAGTTCTTTTGTGGATTCTTTTAAGAAAATCTGTCTCAACAATGTTCTTGATTGCACCCAGGTTTTTGTAGGGAAAAAAACAGACATCATTGACAGGCATATGAAAAGATGCTCAACATCATTAATCATCAGTAACTTTAAATCAAAACCACAAAGAGGGGCTTCCCTGGTGGCACAGTGGTTAAGAATCCGCCTGCCAATGCAGGGGACACGGGTTCGAGCCCTGCACCTGGAAGATCCCACACGCCACGGAGCTACTTGAGCCCGCGTGCCGCAACTAATGAAGCCCACGTGCCTGGAGCCCATGCTCCACAACAAGAGAAGCCACTGCAATGAGAAGTCCGAGCACTACAACGAAGAGTAGCCCCCACTGCCACAACTAAAGAAAGCCCGCGTGCAGCAATGAAGACCCGACACAGCCAAAAATAATAAATAAAAATTTTAAAAAACAAAACAAAACAAAAACCACAAAGACCTATCATCTCACACTCATTCGATGGCCACCATAAAAAAAAAAAAAAACACCAGAAAATAACAAGTATGTGGAATAATTGGAACCCTTATGCACCACTGGTAGAATTGTAAAATAGTGCAGCCATTATGGAAAATGGTATGGCAGTTCCTTAAAAAATTTAAAATAGAACTGCCTGATCCAGCAATCCCTAGTCTGGGTATATATACAAAAGAATTGAAAACAAGGTCTCGAAGAGATGTTTTTGCACACCCATGTTCAATGTACCATTATTCACAATAGCTAAGATGTGGAAGCAACCTAAATGTTCATCAGTGGATGAATGGATAAAGAAAATGTGGTATATACATACAATAGATTATTATTCAGTGTTAAAAAAGAAAGAAATCCTGTCATAAGCTACAACATAGGTGAACCTTGAGGACATTATGCTAAGTGAAGTAAACCAGTCTTGAAAGATAAATACTGCAAGATTCCCCTTAGGTGAGGTATTTACAGGAGTCAAATTCTTAAAAAGTATAATGGTGATTTCCAGAGGCTGGGGGGAGGGGGATATAGGGAGTTGTTTTTCAGTGGGAGTAGAGTTTCAGTCACGCAAGATGAAAAAGTTCTAGAGAGCTGCTGTACAACAATGCATATAGTTAACAATACTGTACTGTACACTTGGAAATTGTTAAGAGGGTAAATTTATGTTATTTTTTCTTTTACCACAAACAAAAAAATCTCAGACATCGACTCAAAAAGCAATTCAGAATTCCTTGTCTCATGAATTGTTTTATTATGGTCTCTTTGAATTGGGATCCAAAAAAATTTGATTGATATGTTAAAAAAATAACAATTCAGAGGAGTAATACTGTGAATGTGAGGAATTTTAGTTATACCTTATCCAATTTTTTCACCTATATTTTCATTTTTATGAATATACAAGAGTGATATGATTAAAAATGTATGCTTAGGAAGGATTAAAAGAGTTCTTATAGTAATTTATAGAAAATATAAATTCTGGGCTTCCCTGGTGGCGCAGTTGTTGAGAGTCCGCCTGCCGATGCAGGGGACACGGGTTCGTGCCCCGGTCCGGGAAGATCCCACATGCCGCGGAGCGGCTGGGCCTGTGAGCCATGGCCGCTGAGCCTGCGCATCCAGAGCCTGTGCTCCGCAACAGTGAGAGGCCCGTGTAAAAAAAAAAAAAAAAAAAAAAAAAATATATATATATAAATTCTAAGGGCTAAGAAAACATTGTCCCATTTTATTGGGAACATTTTCTTTGCTATTGGTGTATAAAATATGTGCATCTCATAATCATTGGAATCTTAGAGTTGTTGAGGGGATGCTGCTTTCTATAAAGAAATTAAATATTGTACTACCTTCATTCTGATTTTTTTCCCAAGAGAAAAAAAGTACATTTTTTTTTAAATTTTAATTTTTAAGAGTCTGGCTTACCTCATTCTTTTTTTAGTGTTTGCAAAGTATTTAATAGTATGTGGGCATTATTTGAAATCACAAGAGTCAAGATTTTTTTTTTTTGGCTGAGCCGTGGGGCTTGCAGGGTCTTAGTTCCCCAACCAGAGATTGAACCCACACCCTTGGCAGTGAAGGCACGGAGTCCTAACCGCTGGACCGCCAGGGAATTCCCAAAAAGTACATTTTAAATAACAACAATTAATTCACCCCCTCACCTCCTTCCTCCCCTCACCAAAAAAGATAAAATTGTGGGTGTGTGCTTTGGGTTTTCTATGCAGACATCAGTGATTAACCGTAACCATAAACTGAATACTGGGTATAAAAACAACGAAGGATAAGGGTAGTGCAATAATGTTGGAAAGTCTTAAGTTTTTACAAGATTTTCTTAAATTTTCTATACAATCAAAGCATCTACTCCCAAAGTGGGATTATTTTGTCTCTTCATCTCTGATCCTTATTCTTCTTTCTCTTGTGTTGCCTACTACCTTCAGTACAATGCGGAATAGTTGGTGTCAGTTGTCACCTGTCTATTCTCTGTTTTTAGTGGAAATTATTCAAAGGTTTTACCATTGTGGTTGATGTTCAATATAGGATTTTTAGTATATGTCCCTCTTGAGATGTATAGGCTGGGATGCTTTAATCTCTCTTTCTGTCATTTAACAGTGGGACCATTAAAACAATGGCTTCCTAAAGAAGAGGGGAAGGTAGAAGTGGCCTCTGACATTGAAGTAGAAGAAGAACAACCAGCACCAAGATCTGATGATGATGATACGTAAGTAGGTCATACCTAGATGCCGAAGGGAAGCGCGGGATATAGTAAAAATGGTAAAAAGTTAAAATGCTGTTGTTGAGGCATAGAATATAGCCTCAAAGACCCAGCTAAGGAGACCAAGTTTTCTTATATACATGGGTTTGTCTCTGGGTTCTCCATTCTTTTCCAATGGCTTTGTTTTCCCTTCCTGCATCAGTGATATTCTGTCAGTTACTATGGCTTTATTGTACCTTTTGATATCTGGTATGGCTAGTCCTCACAGCTTCCTCTAGTCTCCATATCATTTTCTTCAAAATTATCTTCGCTGTTGCTTTTTACTCAACGTATACATCCTTTCATTCTCTTGTAAAGTGTCATGAAAAAGCTTGTTGGGATTTTGATGAGAATGAGATTACATTTGTTGATTAATTTATGGGAATTCACATCTTTGTGATTATAAGTCTTAACATCCATGAATATAGTATAGCTCTCCATCTATTTATGCCTTTTAAAATATTCTTCAGTATTTTTATAGTTTTCTTCATGATATAGATACCACTTAACTTTTTTGTTGTTGCCATTATTAATGGGGTCATTTTTCTCCTACTACATTTTGGCTACTGCTAGTGTATGGAACACTATTGATGTTGTATCCTGTAACCTCACTGAACTCTCTAATTAGTTCTAAAATTTGGAGTCCTTTGAAGTTTAAAATTTTTATTATAATTTACTTTTAAAATAGGTAATATATTTACATGGTTCCAAATTCAAAAGGTATATTCTTTTCATAGTCTTTCTGCTATCTCATTACCTCTGCCACACAATTCCCCTCCCCAGAGTCAACCAATCCAATCTGCTTCTTGTGCATACTTCTTCTGAGAAATTCCATTAAAATGTAAGCAAATCTGTATACCTTGGTATGTGTATATTCCTTTTCTTTTTTATAGAAACAGTTTCATAATGTAGATACTATCTCGCAACTTCCTTTTATCACTTAACAGTGTATCTTGAGTACCTATCATAATATACAAACAGTAGTATATAGAGAGTTTAAATTCCCAGAACAGCAAAGTGTTGTGTCAAAGAGTATGTACGTTTGTAATTGGATAGTGTCAAATTGCCCTTCACAGAGGTTACACCTATGAACAGTTCCACTGACAGGGTATGGAAGTGCCTGTTTCCTTGTACATTTCCTTGCTCAGTGTGTTACCAAACTTAGGATCATTTCACAGTTGATAGATTTTAAAATGCCATTTCAGGTTTGTTTTAATTAGCATTTCTTTTATGAGTAAGGTTGCCTTTCCATATGCTTAAGATCCATCTTTATTTCCTCCTTTGGGAATCAGTTTTATTTATAGCCTTAGTCATTTAAAAAATTTAGGCTATTAACATTGTGTTGATTTGGGGAACTTTTTGTATTTTAGGGAAATTAGTCTTTTAGCTGTAATATGTTTCAAGAATATTTTCCCGTTTTTTGTTTGCTTTTTGATTGTATTTATAGTGACTTGTGCCATGAGGAAATTTCTTACTTTTGTTTACTTAGATTTATCAATTATTTAATAAAAAATGATACCAGAATTTTTTTAGTACTTTTATGATTTAGTTTTCTATTTAGTTAAATATTTTGTTCATCTTGAATTTTACTTGTACTGTAAAGTGTGGCTCCAACTTAATTTTTTCCCCAAATAACTCCTTACTTATTCCAATGCCATTTATTAAAAATCTTTATTTTTGATACCAATTTGAAGTGCCACTTTTATGATATACAACATTTTTATGTGTATTTCTATCCAATTCCTATTCTTTCTAGTCTAATTATTATAAACATGTTTATAATATGTTTTATTGTCTGGGGGGCCTTTCATTGTTCATAATTTTCCTGTCTAGTCTTACTTGTTTGTTTTTCCATGGGAACATTGGAATCAACCTGTCTAGCAAATAAAGGAGGGAGGAAGGAGGGAGGGAGGGAGGGAGGAGGGAGGGATGGAAGAAGGAAGGGAGGGAGGGAGGGAGGGAGGGAGGGAGGGAGGGGGGGGAGGGGAGAATTTTCTCAGCCTCTTCCTTTTTCTCCTGGCCTCTATTATTGCTGATGCGAAATCTGCTATCATCTAATTGTTTTTCCTTTGTAGATGTGCTAACTCTCTCCCTAGTACTTTCATAACTTACTTTTTCTTCTTTCATTCTTATGTTTTGGTATGATATCTCTAAGTCTGGATTTATCTTTTATCCTCCTTGGTTCACTTTCTTCTGAGAACTCATGACTTTCTTTAGTTCTGGAAATTTTTTACCTATTATTTCTCCAAATATCACTTTTCTTATTCCCTCCATTTTGGCTCTCCAATTAGATACATTCTAGAGCTTCTCAATCTGTCCCCAATAACACCTAGTTGTACGTTCATATTTTTTAAAAAAGTATTTATGTATTTAGGCTGCACCGGTTCTTAATTGTGGCATGCAGACTCTTAGTTGCGGCATGCATGCAGGATCTAGTTCCCCGATCCCTGGCCCCCCTGCCTTGGGAGCATGGAGTCTTGCCCACTGAACCACCAGGGAAGTCCCCTTTCATATTTTTTATTCTTTGTTTCAATCTAGGTGAATTCTTGAATACTGTTTTCCAATTCTCTCTGGGTATCATCTATTAGGTTTTTAACTTAAATGATTACATATTTCCTAATATTTATAATTATTTTTTCTTATATTTATATGTTCTTGCTTCATTCTTGCATAATTGTTTCCCATAATTTAAAAACATTTTAAAATGGATGTTGTGCTTTAATTTCTCTTGTTGAGCATACTTACTTTAAGGGCTTTATCAAAATCTTCTGTCGATGCCAATTATAAACAATCTATAATAAAGAATAGAAGAGAGTTTTATTCAAGCAAAACTGAGAACTATAGACCAGGAGCATAGACTCCACCAAGGAAGAAGAAAGCCCTCTGGAGAAGCATGGTTTTCAGTACAGTTTTATATCTTATCAGAACAAAGAACAAACATCAAACATGACAGGGGTACCTTCCTTCAAGGTTTCAAAAGAGCCATTAGCACATACACAGCGAGTCAGCATGACCTTGGTGTCTGGGAAGGGACCCTCATCTTTGAAGGAGTATTTTAGCATTGGTGTCATAGGAACAGGGATCATTTATCCCTATGTTCAGAGTGGACACTTTTTTTTAAATTTATTTTTGGCTGCGTTGGGTCTTTGTTGCTGCACACGGGTTTTCTCTAGTTGCGAGGGGGGCTACTCTTCGTTGTGGTGTGCGGGCTTCTCATTGCGCGGGCTTCAGTAGTTGTGGCTCCCGGGTTCTAGAGCACAGGCTCAGTAGTTGTGGCGCATGGGCTTAGTTGCTTTGCGGCATGTGGGATCTTCCCGGACCAGGGCTTGAACCTGTGTCCCCTGCACTGGCAGGCGGATTCTTAACCTCTGTGCCACCAGGGAAGCTCCCAGAGTTGACACTCTTTAATGGTTAAAGCAGATGTACAAGTGTGTTTGGCCATAAGACAGGCTGTTCCAGGTCACATAAAGTATAGGCCAAATCATGTATAAGCCAGAATGACTTCCCCATACCCCAATATGTGAAAATTTCTTCCAGTGCCTCCATAAAAATAATTTCATCTCTTGGGCTTCCCTGGTGGCGCAGTGGTTGAGAGCCCGCCTGCTGATGCAGGGGACACGGGTTCGTGCTCCGGTCCGGAAAGATCCCACATGCCGCGGAATGGCTGGGCTTGTGAGCCATGGCCGCTGAGCCTGCGCGTCCGGAGCCTGTGCTCCGCAACGGGAGAGGCCACAACAGTGAGAGGCCCACGTCCCCAAAAATAAATAAATAAATAAAATAATAATAATTTCATCTCGAGTTTGTTCAATGGTCCAACTTAAAAAAAAAAATTGTTGCCCACCTTACCTTTCTTACCATTAGATTTATTCTTGTGTTTTGGAATTTTAGTTTGCAGGCTCATTTTGTTTTGGAAGTTCTTTTGTATTTTGTGGGGTTTTTTTGGTTTTGTTTTTAAAATTTTCTTCCCTCCTTTCTTTCCTATCTCCTATATATCTGACAGGTTTTTGGTTTCTTCATTGGGTTCCCCTCTATTCTTCCTAAATGGAACCCTTGAAGAGCTGCTCTTCAGTGCAAGGGTGGTCTAGGAAAAAAGCTCAGGAATGTGGCTTCTCTGTCTTGGCTCAATCTCTGGGAGAAAAATACTTCCTGAGAAATTTATAACCATGGATTTGCCTTCACTCAGATTTGGAGTTTGAATTTACAACACTTGGATGGTCTAGAAACATGTACATTGAACAATTAACATTAAAATTAGCAGTAAGAGATTGTAATACTCTGGGATCTCTAGAAGAAATACATGTAGAACACTCTGGAGGGATATAGCCTCAATCCAGGTTACAGTGAATTTCTCACTGAAGCACTGCTGAAGATGAGCTCACAATTAAAGATTAAATCCACTACGAGAGACGGCAAACACAACAAATAGCTAAATTAGGTCGTAAACAACTTCGGATAATATGAGTATTTAATATTTGCATAATAATTACTATTGTGTAGTTAAAATTATTTAATTAAAATAAGAAAACATGAGAAAAAAGCAGGTCTATCAAAAAAGAACAGGAAGATTTGATAATCAACCAGTAGAACTTCTGAACGTGAAAAAAATCTTCCAATAGAAATTAAAATTCAGGAGTTTAAAAACAGGATAGAGTTAATGAAGGAATTAGTAACTAGAAGATAGATCTGAGGGGGAAAAAATGGTCGAAAATGTGAAAGAAGTGTTAAGAGGCACGAAGGCTCAATGTATATCTAAAAGGAATTCCAGAAGAGAATAAATGAAGAGCAATATTCAAAGCAATTATAGCCGTGAACTTTTTGGAATGATTGAAAGCCACGAATCATGATATCTGGGAAATAAAAGAATCATCAAGCAGGATCAATGAAAAGAAATTCACACGGACATATTACATTGTAGAGGAATGGAGACAAAGGCAAGATTTTGTGTAAGCACATACCTGAGTAATGGCAGCTTAACACATGGGAGCTATAATTACTGGTCCACCCCGAATTGATGGTCTCCAATTTCAGGGGAGTCCTCTGTGATACCTAGCAACCCTATGCCTGGTCAGCTTCCCTCCAAACCCTCAGTCGTGCACACTCACCCCCATCCACCTTGCTCTCATCACGTACCCTGCCTTCTACTTCACAGAGGGGGTGTTTTGTAGGTGGAATTACCTCTTGTGTAGATCCATGAATTTTTTACACATGCGTCCTTGACTCCTTCTCCCTCCCTATCTTCCTTCTCAGAGGAAAGCAGTCTCCCTTCCTGTTGAAAGCTCCTCCTTACACAGGTGCTCTAAGTCCCAGCCTTTCCTCAGTGACCATGTTGCTATCAATTAATCTGCCTTTCTCCTGTATTTTCAACATCTATTACTTACTTCCTCTCAGCTTATAAACATGCCCAAATCTCTCCCATCTTGAAAAACACCAAAAAACCCCATTCCCCTTATGTTCTTGAGATAATACTGTCCTTTCAGAGCAGGGCTCCCCTCAGAGGAGTTTTAGCTCATTGTCATCACTTTTTTAAACCTCCCATAGCTTTCTTGATCCACTATATTGATGGCTCCGGCTGCAGAGAACTCTGAAATATTCCTGCAAAGGTCATCTATTACCTTGAAATTGCCGAGTCCGATGATCATTTCTCAGTCCTCATCTTATGTGACTGCTCCCTCTCTCTGGAAATTCTCTGCTCCCTTGGCTTCCATGACGAACACTCTTGGTTCCTACCAGCTCCTCCTAGGTTTCTTTCCTTTGCCCCTTAAATATCTGTGATCTTTGAGATAGTTTTCTTGGTCTCTTCCCTTCTTCTTTTCTAAAAGCATCAGTGTTGCAGCCTTAGACACAATTTCAATTCCTGGTCCTAATAGTTAAGAGCTGTGAGACCTTGGGCACTTTTTTTGAACCTCTCTGAGCCCAGCTTCTTTATAAATGGATGATGATAATGTCCACCTCAAGTGTTGTTATTAGTAGAAGAAATATAGTATGTGTAAAGTGCTCCAGGGAGTGACTGGCACATAGGAAGGGCTCAATATATGGCAGCCGTTGTATTATTTTTTTTCTTTTTTTTCTCTTCCCTCCTCTTCTTTTAAACTAAGAGTAGATGGATATTAATAAATATAATAAAAGTTATTGCACACAAATCCAGCTAAACAGAATACTGATTCTCCCAACATTGGTTGTTTATCATCCTTAGAGAAACCAGACTGATATGATAATTTATTACCTGGGTGGAAAAGCAACTTTCAAACTGGTCAAGTGGGGGTGGGGCATGAGAAGGGACACTAATTTTCACATGTATTCATTTGTGTTTTGATATCCCAAAGTTGACTTTTTACTGCTTATTATTTCAGAAATTTTGAAGAATCTGAAGATGAGTTGAGAAATGAAGTAGTAGAATCCCTGGAAAAGCTCTCTACTTCCAAAGAGGCAGAAAAAAGGGAAGAGGTTTCCAGTTCCTCTAAGGATGCTGAAAAGAAAGAGGGGATAGGCATACAGAAATATGCAGAATTAAATGAGGGTTTGTAGAGTATTTTTACTCCATCTGATGACAAAATTTGTATTGTTGATGAAGACCCAGGAACATCAACCACCAGTGAAAATATACAAGTGTGATCATTGAACTTTTTCTTAAATAACTAGTACCTATTACAGTGTCTCTTTGGGAGCAGTCATAAATATACATTTATTGTAAGGGTTTTCCAGTAATCCCAAGGCTTTATTAGTTTTCTTCTCAATTTAGACAACAGGACTAACTTCTGAATTAAAATTAATAAAATTTAATTAAATAATTAAAATTATTTAAATTTTTTAAAATAATAATTTTAAAATTATTTAAAATTAATATTTTTACGCTAAGAAATCTTTCAGATAATATGTGTGGTTGGCAGAGTAATGTGGCTCCCCTCACCCCACATGCACCCAAAAATGTGAATATATTTCATTGAATTATTTTCTAATAGTTTCAAGTGTATAGACTATAAACTTCTGGAAGGCAGGGACTATATCTGGTCTTTGTTTCTTATGATGATCTTTTTATATATAGCGCTTAGCACCATGCTAGCAATGTTTCTTAACTGAGTAAGTAAATACTAATACAATTTCCTCATTAAGACTGTAAGCCCTTTGAGGCAGGAAACTAGACTTAAACTTTTTGTATTAATTATAACAATCCCAGTGTTGAACATGTGCCTGGAGCTTAGCAGATACTTGTTGTACCTGCTGCTATGAAGGACAAGAGTGGTTATATCTAAGTGGTAGAATTCGGCCTGAAATAGCTGGTCTATAATGAAAATAAAACTAAGTTGGCACATTGATGCATTGCTGAACCAAGTAAACAAAGATGAGGAGTGGTTGGTCAAATTATTCCTAAGGTCTGCTTAGCATTTACATTTGGTATAATATTAAATGTGGGGCATGTAAGGGTCAAGATTTCCCTAACTGGGATGTGTCCAGTCTTTTCTATCTTTATTTTCCTGGTGATGTCTGAGGGGCTGTTCTTCCAACTTGATGTATAGAGTACATTCTACTCTTTTAGGGCTCAGTATGGTCACATCATGAGGCTAAGAATATTTAACAATTTCTCACCATTATGTTAGTTTCAAACTAGGTAACACATGACCCTGAGGGATTGAAGCATCTTTAATTCTACAGCTCTTTTAGTGGTCAGTATATACATGTTTAATTTACTTTCAGGACATTATCTGGTTCAGACACTGAATCTGCTGGTATCACCCTCATTCTAAACAGTACCTGAAAGCATGGAAAATGAAACGTGGTTCCTGAAAAATCCCAAAGATCAATTATATACAGGAAAAAAAAAAAAAGGAATGTTTAAGGTCAGTGTTTAAGAGTAAACATATCAGGTTTGCTCCAATAACAAGATGCTTGGCTAAAATCTCCTTTAGGTAACAGCCACCCACCCTTATCATTCATTCTAAGATTTTGAGTTCTTTGCTGTAAATTAGGAAGTATTCAATGTGATAAGTATGCGTATCTGCAAGGTTTTTCAACCTGCTCCAGCCCAATTCACCTTACCTATCTTACACACACTGTCACCTTAATCATGTTCTTGAGGCCCAGTTCTGATTACTTTACTCTGGTTTTAGGCTTGGCTACATCTGTTAAATTGAAACTATTGATCAGACCTGCATATGTCTTTAGAATAAATTTTGTTAGAAAAATCATGCGTTTTGGTAACTATGTATGATATCTATCAACTTGATCATTCTTTAAATAGTACCAAGAAGAGTTATCAACCCTTAATCTCCCTTCTAAGTGTCTTGTAACAGTTATGCATGATCCGAGTGAGCACATAGCACTAGAGTATTGGAACTGATGCTTCTCCAAAGCCAAGGGTGGCCTTAATTAGGGTCGGGAAAGAGGAATAGTGGGTGAGGTAGGGCAAATCACATGGGCATAATTTGATTCTAGTAATTTGCATAGCTTCTTGTTGTGGTTTAATGGAAGTAAATTTTTAAAAAAATTTTTATTGGAGTATAGCTGATTTACAATGTTCTGTTAGTTTCTGCTGTACAGCAAAGTGAATCAGTTATACATATACATATATCCACTCTTTTTTAGATTCTTTTCCCATACAGGTCACCAAAGAGTATTGAGTGTACTCGAGTTCCTTGTGCTATACAGTAGGTTCTTATTAGTTATCTATTTTATATATAGTAGTGTGGGAAGTAACTTTTTCATTGTACCCACTGACACATTTAGCAGACACACCTTCACGTATTTATTTATTCATATCATAGTTCTGGAGTCTAGGGCACATTTACATAATTAAATACACAAATATTCTGAAAGCACTGATAATCACTGGCACCTATCTCATATTTTTGTCTGGAATATGACTTTGTAAAATACACTGAAAATTATTAAAGTGTATGAAGCTCTGTAGCATTTTATATGTCTGAAATAATATTCATTTAAAAAAATCTATTAAACCTGACAACCTATTCCTGGGTACAAGAGGCAAAACAGTTTTGTTTTGCCTTTAAAAACTTGTTTTCTTTCTTTAAAAAAAATTCTTGGCATGTGGAGCTTGGGAATATTAGCAGTAGATAATAAATAATTCAGAATTGGGAGACTACATGAGGGGTGTAAAGGCACTGTACTGGGAAAAGTATCTAAGATAATAAAACCACTTCTTTAGATCTTACTTAGATATAGACTTTGTACCTATCAAATCTAAATCATATTTAGATACAAATAATTACTATACAAAGAACATGTAACATGTAGTTTGTTATGCACAACTGGAAATAAGAATGTGAATCACCACTGCTGTAGGTTCAAAACAGCGTGTTTGGACCACTCAAAAGCAGTGTCTTCCAGGAATTAATAGTCACTCAATTTCTCCAGGCAGACAGTAGCTGACATATTGCTTTGACATTCTTCATGGTATCAAGTATTCAGAAACAAACAAACATTTAACACCACATTAGGAACACTGAAAGGAAACATATATGCAAAATTTCTAATGATAGGTTTGTGATAAATGAAAATCATTTTGAAGAAATTAGCTTAAAAAATGTTTTGTGGAATTTCAGAGTCCTTTCTTCCTTTCCTATATCCTCTACTTTTGCTCTGTCCATTTCAATTTCTTTATCTTCAGTCCCGTGATTTTCTTTGGGTAGATGGGTAAGGTGAGTGGACAGTGGTAATGAATCTTACTTCAAAGACTAGCTATAAGAAAAAGCACCAGGCTGGGGGGTCAGAACCCCCGGGTGGTAATCCTGATTTTGTCATTAAACAACTTTGTGATACTGACAGAATCAAAGTTCTTTAAATTGTTCCTGTCTGTAAAGTTGAAAATAAGAGAAAATTGGACTAGAGAATTTGTAGGGCTCCTTCCAGCTCCAATTTCCACCAGTTTTTCTTTTCTAAATTGAATACTCTCCAACACAAAGCTACTCTGGTGTGTCAGAACATCCTGGGACTCTGTTTTGGTGCTTTTTGATCTGATGACAGAAAATGGCCTGCAGACGAATCAATAATGTAATTGGAAGCAGATAACGAAGCTGGGTGGATTGATGAATGGACAAGAGGAGACTGGAAAGGAAAAATGTACCTCTTTCACATGCCCGTAACACAGAGGTGTATCAGACTGTGAAGGAGGTCAATTTACTGAACTAGAAGGAACTGATTATGTACGCAGAAAATGTCAAAAGTTATAGGCTCAACAGCCATATTTGCACATGTATATATTCACTTTTCCATGCTAGTTATTCAGGATAGGAGTCCTGTTAAATTATACTGATTCCTAGTTACTGGCTTAGTAACAAGAATCTACAAAGGATCGTAATGCATTGATAAAGATAGGATTCTAGAAGACATTTACTATATATTGTTACCTTTAAAGTAACTTTTATAATTTTCAAAGTACTTTCACATACTTTCTGTGTTCCCTGTTTTCTTTACAACTATGAAAGGCAGTGAGGACAGCCATTACCATCTCCAGGTTACAGAGAAAGAAGCTGACACTCAGAACGATTAGGAAGCAGCTTTAGTGTCAAAAGGTCAGATGTTTGTAAATGATGAAGCTGAGGTCAGATCCAGCTATTCTACTGCTAGTCCAGTGCTCTTTTCAAAATGCCACCTCACTATCTTACAGTGCATGATGCTGATTACAGAGACCATGTGGATGGATCCAATTATACCTTCAATATCAGAAAAACAACTTACCGCGATGTTCTGACTCAGACCTCTTGAATGACTTCAAAAAGCTGACTTATAGCCTCTGGGACATGAAAATGTTAAGGGATAATGAGAGGTCCAAAAAATGTACTGATAGCACTAAACATAAAACTATTTTCACAAATACCTAGTTAATGGAAAGGATTACTGGCAGTACCCTGGTCTCTACATGCCCACGCACACACATAGAGCAATCACAGTGAGCCTGTCTTCTGACTACATGCTTTTAGAACATGATTAACTCTGCTTAAAGTTTTTGTTCTTTTAAGAGGATCATTAGATAGATTCAAAAATTTTATCCACAATATTGCTTGAATTTAAACGTACCAGAATTTTTCTGTGTTCCAAAAATGTCAAAATAATTCTAAAGTACTAATCAATTATCAATCACCCATTTTTTCCCCAATATTTCCTTTTTTCTAAAAGGAAATTCTCTTTCCTGATTTCTAAAGTAAAGTGATTTGATAAATAGTATTTTAAAAATATGGATTATACCAAAATTAAGATTGTTCATTTTTTTCTTTCAGACCCATATTTTTCAGAATTTGAGACCAAACACTAGTCTAAGATTTTTATATTTAAACTATATAAGGTTACCTTTTCCACTTAGGTAATTTTGCCTGTTTCCACTGAAATAAATACCTTGGTTATATACATACTGCTGAGGGCCTTGCTTAGACTAACTTTATTACAATAGGGAATGAGTTTAGAAAAATATTAACATATGAAGGTATCTAACCATTTTATATAAAATATCTCTAGTTTGTACAGATACGGAATTACTGAAATAATTTTTCCACAGACGTTAGGAATGTCACTTCAAACTCCTGATCGGAGAATCTGCTTACAGATGCACGAGCATTGTTCCTGATTTGGAGTCTCTTTTCCGCAGACATGGAAAGAATATGGGCCATAGTCTCAGCGTAGTCTTCTTCACTTTCAGCCAGAAAGCCAGTTCTCTCGCCTTGGTGAGGAACGACAATGTCGAGCTTCGGGCCCCCTGAATTGTGTGCAAGGACAATCGTGCCGGCTGCCA